AAGCATTTTTCTAGTTTCCAGACAATAACTTGTGTTCAAGTGTATGGATCTCTCTGAAATTGTACTGCAAGGTACCATACCACAAAGGAAAGGCTGGGATTGATTTTGGGGGTGATTGCCTCAAAATTTTAGGAATAAGGGGCCAAAAAGGGGCAAAAAAACAAGCATTTTTCTAGTTTCAGGACAATAACTTGTGTAAGTGTATGGATCTTTATGAAATTGTACTACAAGGTTCCATATCACAAATGAAAAGCTGGGTTTGAGTTTGGGGGTAATTGCCCTAAACGTTTAGGAATTTGGGGCCAAAAAGGGGCCAAAAAATAAACATTTTTCTAGTTTCCAGACAATAACTTGTGTTCAAGTGTATGGATCTCTCTCATATCACAAAGGGAATGCTGGGATTGATTTTGGGGGTAATTGCCTCCAAATTTTAGGAATTAGGGCCAAAAAGGGGCAAAAAACAAGCATTTTTCTAGTTTCATGACAATAACTTGTGTGTTAGTGTATGGATCTCTCTGACATTGTATCACAAGGTTCCATATCACATAGGGAATGCTGGGATTGATTTTGGGGGTAATTGCTTCCAAATTTTAGGAATTGGGGGCCAAAAAGGGGCAAAAAACAAGCATTTTTCTAGTTTCATGACAATAACTTGTGTGTAAGTGTATGGATCTCTCTGAAATTGTACTGCAACCATACCACAAAGGGAAGGCTGGGATTGATTTTGGGGGTAATTCCCTCAAAGTTTTAGGAATTAGGGGCCATAAAAGGGCAAAAAAACAAGCATTTTTCTAGTTTCATGACAATAACTTGTGTGTAAGTGTATGGATCTTTATGAAATTGTACTGCAAGGTACCATACCACAAAGGGAAGGCTGGGATTGAGTTTGGGGGTGATGATTCATAAGGGGGTTAAAAAAATTTGGGGGGGGATTTTTTTTTTTTTTTTTTCCCTCTTTAAAAATTTTCCAATTTAAGTTGGTTATTTTTGATTTATATATAAAAGCAAATAATAATGATATGGTTTGAATAGGTAAATTAAAATGTTTAAGTTCTTAGACCACATTCATTCTGTGTCAGAAACCTATGCTGTGTCAAATATTTAATCACAATCCAAATTCAGAGCTGTATCAAGCTTGAATGTTGTGTCCATACTTGCTCCAACTGTTCAGGGTTCGACCTCTGCGGTTGTATCAAGCTGCGCCCAGCGGAGCATTTTATTATAGATTTTTGTGCTTTTGAAACTGCCAAATCTATTTTGAAAACTGAAAAACAATAGTTTACATTACATATGCATGCCGGGTGAGTAACAGAGGATCCCTTGAGCTATAGTGTTATAAGATTAATACTTATTTTTCTTAATCTGGACTAATGTACTATATGACTTATGATTCCTTCAGTTTGTCCATGATGTCTGTCCCATTTCCATAAAATTTTCATTTTTGTTGTCTCAAATAAAATGATGTGGCCAAAAATATTATTACAGACAGTCAAGTCAGTCATCCAGTATGGCCTATAGAACCTCTTAAATATAAAAAAAAAAAAAAACGATTCCAAATGGCTTGCTTTCTATAATCCTGTTTTAGAAACACCAAAACTTGATATCTCATATAATCATGTCAGTTCAGTTAGAATACAACCTTTTTGTTCATTCTTAAATTAAAAAAAATAATTTGTTTGGAGGATTATTTTCTGCTTATGAAATAAAATAAAGCTCTTTTTCTAAAAACAAGAATGGCTTGTTTTAATTACATTGTACTGCGTTTTAGCAATTCCTGAATTCGAAATCTCCATTTGTCAGCATACTTAGAAAATTTTCCTCTGTTTCATTCTAGATAAATAAGAATCTTAGAATCTTAAATAATTTCATAACAGAAGAAATTATCACATTCTTATTATCTTTTCTTTATTCTTAACAATAAGTAAACCTGCTCATCAAATGTCAATTTCAGCAGAGTTATCTCTCTTTTGATTGATACAAATTAAAATCTTTACCAATTTTAACTTGGCTAAAATTGTCATTTTTATCCAGATAGATGTTTATTTTGATTGGTTTTTCTGTTTTAAGTCTCTCATGGTATCACAAATTCAATATTTATTAGGTTTATAGGAAAACAAATTTCAGAGGGTAATGTGAGGGTATCCAAATTGCACCTATTTTGACTGTTTTTTCACCAAAGTTTTTTTATGATGCAGACAAAAGTTTCCATTTTGTGTTTATTTTGTAAATGTATCCTTATTTACTGTATAGTTTCACCAATTTAAATTTGTATCCATATTGAATCATAGAAAAATGGGTTTGAACCAACCTCCAAAAGATCCATGATTCTGCTATGAGTAGTTCCCAAATTGCATCCATGCTTAAATTCACATCCTCAAAATCGAATAACTGATGTTTTTTTTTTCATTTCTCCAAATATTTAGAACAATATGTCAATAGTCCATGCTTACTATTCATTTTTGAAGATATGGATCCTTGCATCATATTTTAATCCTCATTTTTTAAAAGTTTTTTTGTGAACGTGGCATTACGACATTTCCATAGATTTTACTTTTTTCAGTGAATAATTCATCTTTTGATATGTACTGTGAACGTTTTGTGTATATTGAAATATATTTAGCTATGTTGAAAGAAGTGCAAAATGTCAATCATAAAAATACATATTGTTAAGTCATCTAAGATTTCCGCTGCTATTTTTGCTAAATGTGTGCAATTTGGGTACTGTGACGTTATATATATCAATTGATGATCATTTCCAGTCTTATGGCCATTTTTGATCCCCAAAAATGTAATACATGAAAAGGACAGCAGGATATAGCAAAAGAATTGGTCAGTACAATAGAACATACCTACCATAATCCAAAAAATATATATTTACAAATTAGGACAAACAACAATGACACCTCATGGTCCAAGTAGTCTGACTTACTACAGACACAAAATGTGATTGGTTAAACTAGTTTTTACATGTGCACACCCCACCCCCCCCATCTTTTGTCTATCTAGACCATATGTCATATATATAAGTGAAACATGCAATAAAATGAAATTCAGAATGGAAATGGGGAATGTGTCAAAGAGACAACAACCTGACCAAAGAGCAAAATAAACAGCCAAAGGAAACCAATGGGTCTTCAACACATCAGGAAAAACCCCATAAAAAACTGTATTTAATCAGCTACCAGCAGGATGGTATCTAAGCTGAAAAAGCGTCATGTTATTTTGAAAGCAGGCTGCTACAGAAAGCAAGCTAAGGTAGCCACATCTGTAGTTGGGTGTTTTTTTTTAGTTGAAATAGTATGTAAGTAGTACAATTAAATAGTCCTACAAAAACCAGACGAAAATGTAGAGGGCTAGAACAAACAAAAAAAATGTATGAATTTTGTATAATTATAGAATTATACTTATACACAGTAATATTTTTAATTATATATAACTCTATTAGTATATTCTACTTTCAGCAAATAAAGAGTAGAGGGATTAAATTGCAACCACAGAAGACTGATGGAGGGTTAAAAGAACAACAGACTGTAGTAGTTAAAGAAGATCCAGTTTGTTGATGATTTGCTTGATTTTAGGATTTGTAAAATACTTCTTTAACATGGCAATATAACATACACTTTAGATCTAACAAAATAATTCAATGGTATTGGTTTTGTATATGCATGTAGAATATTCCTACATTGTTTAATATTCCTGACACTTGATTAAGAATTGAAGTTCATCTTCAACCTCATTCTTAGTAGTTTACCATTTTTCAATTAAATGGTTATAATGGCCTATTTTCATTACAAAAATTGACATATTTAACCTAGATTGGTAATATTAAGTCATTGTTCAAAGAAAATATGTACTTTGGATTATTCCAAAAAGATCTTTTATTCTTATCAACGTCTTTGTATAAAAACATCCTGTAGCCAAATTTTTTTTGGCTTTGGCTGTTTCTCGTGTCTAAAAAGAGAGATTGCACTTATTGGCAAGGTCAGTATTCTGCAATTTTGATTTGTGCACTGCACTGAAAATCTGAAAACATTAAACTATAAGAACTATAATAATATTACTTGGAAAACGGTCAGAGAACTTTTATACTTTATTAGATTTTTGCATTTAGAAGCCAAGTAAGTATGACTGTCATTCATGCTTTCTTATTCTAATCATGTTTATAACAACAATAGTGCAATTTTGACGATTACAAAAAGTGCATACTACCTATAAATAATTGAGAAATTTAACATTTTTGTTACAATATTTTATATAAGAATATTATATAAGAAAGATTTTCATTCTTTATGCAATTACAATTTGCATAGATTTCAGAGTAAATTGCCGGAAATTACTTTGTATGCTCAGTGCTACACTTCAGAGTAATTTTAAAGTTCTTCAGGCACTTTGTAACAGGAAATTTCTGTAATTTGAAAATAAATTGATACCAATTTTATTTGAGCTTTTCTAACAAAGTCTTTTACTTTTATGTTACATAATAGTTCTATGTGAAGTTATTTGTTTTCCGAAAGAAATTTAACATTTCTCTATGGACACAAATTATTAAGTAATTGCAGAAAAAATGATTGCTGTTTGACATCTTCAGATGTCCATATTTACTGTTTATTATAGACAGACCTAGAGTGTAATATCGATAAATCTTCTATTGAGCTAGATTACTGTCTGGTCCTCATTTAATATTAATTTGACTTGTATCTTTGTCACAATCCACAGACATTTCCTATATTGAAAATAACAATTGAAAAGATTTGCCATGCTCCTAGATATAATTAAGAGGTTAACCAATCAAAATACTAAATTGTATCTGTTTTTTTTAGATGCTTCTTTTTAAGTTTTCGTCATTGACTCTCGGTGAATCAGTTCTGTATTTACAGTCATGATGTTAATAAGTTGTTTTATTATTTTAACCTAATCATGTTTATGCACTTGGTTTCCTTTGTTGCAACTACCTATCTGATAATACCTTTCTTATTTCAGGCCACTTACAGCATTTACAATAAATTAGCAGACGACAGTTTACATGTGAGCAGACGATAAAGAAACCTATTGGTGATAATGGGACAGAAAGAAGATATTGTCCACAGTTTAGTAGAAGATTAGTTTTGATAACAGGTAATTATTTGAGATAATCGTCATTAAGTGTTGTTAGCCGAAATTTTTGTACATTCTTTTGAACCATAGGGTTAATTGCAAGATAAATGATATTTCTGTTGCAGATGAATAAATGATTGACATTTTTTAGTAATTAGATCTCAAATACAGGTATTTTCCACTTCATGCAAAAGTAACTAATCAATTGCATCTCGATTGATTGATATTGTGTTTGTTGATATGTCTGATGAACTGATAGCGTACAGTTTGGTAAATTTTTAAAGATTTTCAGTTTTGTAATATTAAACATTGTAAATCTGTTATAAAAAAATTGATCAAAGAAAAACCAATAAATAAATTAGAAATTTTATGAATAATTTAACAGACTATAAAGAAAAGAGCTAGGATACAGATTTCTTTATGAAATTTGAAGACATTTACTTCAATAAAACGTTTGTATAAATTTTATTTGAAATGATGTGTAACATATGCTTAAAACTTAATTGAAGTATATAAATTGTAATATATGTGTTATGAGAAACTTTCAAAAATTGCATAAATAATGTTGATTTGCGTTCATAATACAGTTTGTTTTGTACTCGTAGTAATATATTATTTTAGAAGAGTTAGGTTTGTTGTATTAGAAACAAAATTGTATGGAATATATAATACCTGAAACAGTAATTGGCGCTAGTTTTAGTTTTTGTCGAGCCTGCGACTTTTGTCGCAGAAAGTTCGACATAGGGATAGTGATCCGGCGGCGGTGGCGTTAGCTAACTTCTTTCAAGCTTTATATTTTAGAAGTTGGAAGATCTGGATGCTTCATACTTTGTATATGGATGCCTCATGTTAAGAAGTTTCCGTCAGTCACATGTCCAATGTCCTTGACCTCATTTTCATGGTTCAGTGACTACTTGAAAAAAAAGTTAAGATTTTTTTGTAATGTTAAATTCTCTCTTATTATAAGTAATAGGATAACTATATTTGGTATGTGCATACCTTGCAAGGTCCTCATGCCCGTCAGACAGTTTTCACTTGACCTCAACCTCATTTTATGGATCAGTGAACAAGGTTAAGTTTTGGTGGTCAAGTCCATTTTTCAGATACTATAAGCAATAGGTCTAGTATATTCGGTATATGGAAGGACTGTAAGGTGTACATGTCCAACTGGCAGGTGTCATCTGACCTTGACCTCATTTTCATGGTTCAGTGGTTATAGTTAAGTTTTTGTGTTTTGGTCAGTTTTTCTTTTACTGTATGCAATAGGTCTACTCTATTTTGGTGTCATCTGACCTTGACCTCATTTTCATGGATCAGTGGTCAAAGTTCAGTTTTTGAGTTTTTGTCTTTTTTTCTAATACTATATGCAATAGTTCAACTTTATTTGGTGTATGGAAATATTTTATGATCTATATGTCAGTCAGGCAGGTTTTATTTGACCTTGACCTCATTTTCAAGGTTCATTGCTCAGTGTTAAGTTTTTGTGTTTTGGTCTGTTTTTCTTAAACTATAAACAATAGGTCAACTATATTTGTTGTATGGAAGAATTGTTAGCTGTACAGGCCTGCCTAGCATTGTTCATCTGACCTTGACCTCATTTTCATGGTTCATTGGTCAATGTTTAGTTTACTTGGTTAATGTTAAGTTGATGTGACAGTTGTAATAAAGCTTTAAATTTAGGACTATCAACATAATATAAATGATTAGTAAAGAAGACATTTCAGCGTGTGCACTCTTGTTTGTTATTCTCAAACCCCCTTATTTTTATCTGTTGTTGGGCTACTGCACTTCGGACACACTGGCCTGTGTTTTGGATTCCAACTCTCACCTGGAAAAAATTTAGTTGTTATACGGAATGTCAACTCTATTGTAGTTTGATAATGAAAAATAAAATTTTATGCTGTCTTCTTACTGTAAATTATAATTATATTTGAAAGATCTTAATTTTGCAAATACTTTATTATCTCTAAATCACCCAATTTTGTAATACTTAAATTTTTAGACCTAGATCATGTTTTTAGCTCAGAATTGCAATCTGAGCTACTGTAGTGTTTGTCGTCTCTCAGTCCATTGTCTGTAAACTTTTCTTTAAAAAAACTTTTCCTCTGAAACCACGAAATGGATTGAAACCAAAGTTTTTCTGCTTCATCTATAGAATGTCTCTTATGAAGCTTGTGATTTCCGTCTAGGGTGATCAACCAACATGGTCACCGTGATTAAATATAGAACATAGGGTCAAAATATAGCTTCTGGCTAATGTCTTGAAAACTAGCAATTAGGGAAAAGCTATCAGGGTAGAAATAATCTGCACCAGCTCTGTCTACCCAGAAAATAAATAAAATAATCTGTCACCGATTTTTGGCTTTTTACCCCTGAAATGTTGTTTTTTAATGTTTTTTGCAGTTCTTGGCTGATGTTTTGAAAATTATCAGAGCTATGTTAAAAGTGTGAAATGCAAAATGATCAATAGTACAAGTTCTGTCTACTTGGAAAAATTTCAGAAAAATAAAAAAAACTTTTTTTTTGGAGTAATGCCCCTGCAATAACTATTTTTGTTGATTTTTGCAGTTTTTGGCAGTTATCTGGAATATTATATGAGCTTAGTTCAATATGTAAATTTCAAAAATGATCAGCATTACAAGATCTATCTACCCTGAAAATTTATGAATTATCTGCCCACCTCTTTTGGAGCTATTGCCTCTAAAATATCAATTTGTTTGCTATTTGTGAGTTTTTTTGCTGTTATCTTGAAAACTTTAGGAGCTAGGTTAATCGAAGTACTGAAGTACTGAACATCGGATGACTGCAAGTTCTTGTGGATGGTCACAAGCACTTGTCTCAGAAAAAAAATCACATCTCTATACCTAAAAGTGAGGTTAATGTACAGATATAATTTTTTTTTCTTAGACAAGTTCATGCATGGATGATAAAATAAATGACAGGGAATTCAACCTCACCATAATAAATATGATATTGAAGTGATACAAATCAGTAAACTCTGGTTTGTTGTTATATATTATATTAATACTTGTATATTACAGTTACATGTATACATAATTTTCATCCATTTGTATATCATTCTATTCTACTATATTATTAATAGTGCAGTGCAAGTGCATGGTGGACACTCTTCTTTAATAATTCAATTTTTCTAATAGATTGGATTTGAGTAGGCATTCATATTTTCCTGCCAACCTTTCAATCTCCTATGCAGAGTTATCGGTCCTTGAGAGAGAGCAAGGACTGATAACTCTGCATGGGAGATTGCAAACGTTCTTGAGATTTTCTTCCTCATGCGTTAACACACATTTTCTGTACGTGTGCATAGATATTAAAGATTATAGATCGGTTACAATCCCAACACGAAAGTTACGTAATGGAAATCTAGGAGACAGCAATACACCGGAATGCCCTCATGGTCATCCAATGTAAAAATGTAAAATGTAAAAACGATCAACAACACCAAAAATGACCAGTATATGCAATTGAAGGTCCTCATTAGCAGATTGACACTTACTTCACTAGGTGAGCATTACAGGCTCAGGTTAGCCTCATGTTGAAGACTATTTACATTATTGCTTTTCCTCCACAGCTTGAGTTCTATAGCAGAAACTCACAAAATTACTTTTACATTGACTAGCGTTAATGTGCTTGTCCCAAGAAAAATAAGAATTATTTTTGTAATTGCTGCTTTTTAGCTTACCTGGCCTAAATGGCCATGTGAGCTTTTGCCATCATGTGACCTCTAGCTTTATCTTCTTTCTGTTGTCTGTCTTTGTAAATTTGGGAGAAAAAATGATTGTCTGAAACTAGTTGGCCAAATGTCACCAAACTATACCTGAATATTTCTTTTGTTTTTTGTTTTAAAACTTGTATTGGGAGATTTGATCCATCAACAAATGTGGCTGCTGTGGCTGAAACAGAAGTAATATCTCAAAAATTAAAGCAGATAGAGCAAAGTTAATGTTGGTAAAAATGTTCAGCTTGTCAAGGTCAATATTCTTCTACATTTTTAGAACAAATAGGAGAACATTTTTGGAGTCATTGCCCCTCAAATATAAACTTTCAGTAAATTTCAGTTCTAACTTCTAGCTCTAAAACTAAAGCAGTAAAAGCAAAATTTGAATAGGATAAAAATGTTCAGCAAGTCAAGGTCTATCTCCTGAGGAATTTTCAGAAAAATTAGCAAAAATGATCAGGAAGACCAGACCTACAAATAAGTCAACATGGTCGAAATCTTCAAACAATTCCTTATTAGAGTTATTGTCCAATACTGACGATTTTTACCAATTTTTTTCATTTTTGCCTAATATCTTAAAAACTACATTAGATAGGTAGAAACTTTAAATAGCAAAAATGATCAGCAAGACAAGATCTACAAATACGTCAACATGACCGAAATTGTTAGTGGATTCCTTTAAGTTATTTCCCTTTAATGATGATTTTTCCCATTTTTGCCCGATATCTTGAAAAATATAATAGATAAATAGAAACTTTAAAAAGGAAAATTATTAGCAGGATAAGATCAACTTATATGTCAACATGACTGAAATTGTCAGTTAAATCTTAATAGAGTTATTCCCTTTTAATAATGATTTTTACTAAAAAGTGGCCATTGTTGAAGATACAGGTGATCGACATAGGATCTTGAGAGCCTCTAGTTTGCTTTTATTGCAGAAACTGTAATAGATATAAAAAAACAGCATATAACAAAAAAGTTCTGCACAATAAGATATACAATTAAGTCAACATAGCTGTAATTGCCAACCAACTCCTTTTAGGAGTTGATTCCACTGAATGATGAATTTTACGTTTTTTTTTCTTTTTTATCAAATGAATTAAAAAAGTGAGATAATTCAAAAAAGAAAAACCAAATGATTATGCTTAAAACAAAAGAAAAAACAACAATTATGACAGACAGCAACCAACAGTAACCCCTGAATTACAGGCTCTTGACTTTGGACAGGCACATACAGAACAACCAACAGCATCCCCTGAATAACAGGCCCCTGACTTTGGAC